TGTTTATATTGGGGATAAGTGATTTTGAATGGGGTTGCAGAATATCCATGTAATTATCTGAGCAGGGAAGCAATGTTTTAATCCATAGAAGAACATAGATTTATTTTAGTTCATTGTGAATGCTTAGCAAATACTGGCTGCTTTATAATCCTTCTCACCCCCAGATCAATACAGTATTTACAATGGACAGATAAAAGTATCATTTGAAAATGAATATAAGGCAAGAATGATCCTACCAAAGCATTGTTAAGTCTCAGTCAATCACGTTGAGGGTTAACTTCTAAAAGAACATCAAGAAGCCCTCAACTTCCCATCTCCTGGTGGCTGGATGTGTATCCTAAAGCTGTGTATGTATAAAGAATTTTCTCAGCTCTGGGAGGTTTTCTTGCAGTTCCTCTGATATTCGATTTTCCTGTTTTCTCCCCAGGGATGGTCTTTATCCCATTTTTAAGTACACTTTCTATTTAAGGCAATGCGGTATCTTAAAACAAAAAATGTGAGGTAGTACTTGGCTTGTGCTAAGATCACACCTCCTTTTCCCACTAGCATCCCACAGGTTGGTGTGGTGGGGATGAGGCCACTCCTCAGCCACCATGGACTGCCACTCTCTCACGTTTCCACTTCAGTTCTATTTAGTTTTCTCCTGATTTCACTTTTGACCCCAGGACCCTGTCTAGGCTCACACATCATCTCTAGTCATGTCTTCTGAGGCTTCTCTGGGATTTCGGGAGGACGATCTCTCAGACTTCCCTTCTTGCTGACGGTACCTGATGCTTTTCCATCATCTTAGGGATTTTCAGAGAAGGTTCAAGTGGTAAAGGGCCAAGCCTTCCACATGAAGCTGTAGCTGGGTCCTGTCACTTCTCGTTGGTGAGAGTGGCAAACTCACCTGGGTGACGGTGAGGAGATATCAGTTTCCCCTACGTGAGGTCCCCTTTCCACCCCAGCTTTCATACACAGTCTGGCAGAAAGTCACATGTGGTGTGCCATCAGCATTTATGGAGAAGGGAGCTATGCACATCCACAGAGAAAATCCACAAACTGAGATTGCCCTACTTAGGAGGAGAATCATCCTTATGCTATTAGGGTGCATACAGATTCAGTGCAGCCTTAATGTATATGTTAGGTAATAATCTAACCCTTCTTCACTAACTCTGTGGATAAGAGTGACCCAGATCTGGCATCTTAAGATTCTGTCCTGGCTCCTGTGTTCCTTTGACATGATTTATTATGTATGTATGTGTGTGTGCATGCATGTTTGTGCTTGTGTGTGCACATGTGTATGTGTGTTTGTATGTTTATATATCTATATGTATGTATGTGTGTGGGGCGTGTTGGTGTTGTGTTTGTGTGGGAGTGTGTTTGTAAATGCTTATGTGCGGGTGTGAGTATACTTATGAAAGGGTATTTGTATGTGGGAGTTGTTTGTGTGCCAGTGTGCATGTGTGTGTTATTATAGGTATGTGTTTATATGTAGGGAGGTGTTTTGTGCAGGAATGGGTATGAATGAGTTTGTGGGAAGGTATTTGTATGTAGGGGCTGCTTCTGTGCATGTGTGTTTGTGTGTACATATGTGTGGGTGTGTTTGGGAGGGTTGTGTCTGGGGTGTGTTTTTGGATGTGGGTGGTGTAAATGTGTAGATGCTGGTATGCGGGTGTGAGTGTGTTTGTATATGTAGCTCTTCCTTTCTTCCTGGCATTCTAAGAACTGAGGTCCATCTTATATCCATTGTGCCTTTGTTCTCAATCAGATATCTTCCCCAACAGGCATTGGCCCCTTTCATGGAAAGAGGGATGAGAAGCCAAGGCTGAGATTCTTGGTGTCTTGTTACTATTCAGAACCCTCACCTCTGGAAGATGCATAGGTCTCTACTTATCATATATAAATGCATTTGTGCAAATATTCCATCTGTGTGCACATTCAACCCACCAAGAATTCACTACCTACCGCTCCAACTCTTAAGTCTGCATGTAGTGCATGCAGGCCGCTGCCTTTACCTTCTCCTGCAGTGAGACCCTTTACTTAATTGTTCTGTCTCCAGTGTCCATCTGGAGTGGATTTGGAATTGCTAACTCACACTCCTGTGGGAAATAACTATCCGCTAGAGCATGGTGAATGTCTACTGTTACTTCTTTCTTCTGCCTCTAGCTCCCTCGTCTCCAAAGTCATCAAAGTTGACTTTTTCCTCCCCCCTCCCTGGCTGTAAGGTGGTGTCATCCTTGTAAGTACAGTTGTGTTCAGGCAGGCTAGCCTCTGTTCACTAAGTTCTTTGTGCTTTGAGAAATGCAATTGTATGTCACCCTCCCCTAATGGTGGGGTACCCTCTGAGTCCCTCCCCCTCTCTCCCTCATCCTGTGCTGACTACAGAAGGATTGACCACTTCTGTGGTTTTGGCCCTTCCAAGCTGCCATAAGATCAGACTCTCTCAGGGTGGAACTTCTTCAGACTCATTTCTTGCTTAGCATGTGCATTTTGGGTCAGTGAACAAGATGATGCTCAATTGAGGGTCCATGTTTGGCTCGGCAGTTCTCTCGTCGAAGTTCTTGATGTATGTGAATAAAGACACCACATGCATGAAGAATTTTGTTTCCTTGCTTGTTTGATTATAGGTGAATTTTCAAATCCTGGCAGTGCCAGGAGTATGTTTACTGGGCACTGAAAGACTGTGTTCAGGTTGATTTCTAAACTACCTTCTCAAGTGCCTATCCAGGAGCCTATCCATTGAGCTATTGCTCCATGCTGAGGTAGAAGCTGCTATTGTCATTTACTTATTTTAGAATTTTTATCACGTGTTTTGTGGATTACACTGTTATTTATAGTTTGCAATTTTCTAATGTCCACAGTCTACACAACGTTTTCCTCTGCTTATTTACCCTGTGAATCCTTCCTTTCATGAAGGACTTGCTCTGTTGCCATTTCTTAATTGATTTTCTTGCTTTCTTGCTGTGGCTTTATGAGTTTGATCCTTTTGAATTTTGGATATACACCTCTGTCAGTTTTGCCTTATATGAATGTTTTTTTTCCAGCCCACTGCTTGTCTTAAAGCTGCCCTTCGTAGACTAGCTGTTTTGGATTTTAGGAGACACGTGTGCACGTCTTTGTAGTGGTTAATCCTGGTTGTCCACTTGCTTTCATTGTGAAGCACCTAGGAGATCAATAAAGCATCGTCTGTGTCTGTGAGGGAGTCTCCAGAGAGGATGCACCAGAGGGGTAAGACCTGCCCTGAATGTGGGCAACACTTGTCCTCATCAGCTGGAGACTGGCTAGTGCAAACATCCTCCCTCCTCCCTTCTCCCTCCTCCCTCCTCCCTCTTCCATTTTCCTCCTCCTCACTGGCCTAGATGAAGTAAGCTTCTCTGCTCCCTCACACCCTCCCTGCCACACTGGACTGAAACTGTTAGGCAGAACAGACCTTTCCTATCTCACGTTTCTCAGGTATTTGTTGACTGTGATGGGAAGCTGACCAACAGGCTCTTTGCTCGGGGATATTTCTGTTATACCTGAGGCTGCCTCGACAAAGCCAATGCCACTTGTCACTTTTATAAGGGTATTTTCTCTCTTCTGTGTCCTTAGATATTTTTCTTTATTCAGCGGCTAGGTTTTCATTTTTCTTTTTAGCTCTATTGCTTCTATTGAACTACTTTTTGCAAAAGGTTTAAGGCCTGTGTCCAGGCTTATGTTTTTAAAATGTGGGGAGCCAATTGCTACAGCAGAATTTCTTGAAAAGACTTTTTCTATATCAAATTGCCTTTGTCCTTTTGTCAAAGATTGATGGGCTGCACTTGTGTGGGCTCTCTACCCTGTTTCATTGATTTGTGTCCATGCTTTTGTCAACACAACACTTTCTTGATTATCGTGCCTCTCAAGTCTTGAAACCAACTACCATGACACCTCAGCTCTCCTCCTCTTTAGTGTCATGGTGTCTCGAGTTCTCTCCTCTTTCCATATAAACTCTATAATTAGTTTATCAATATCTACAGAATACATTGCTGGCATCTGGATTTGCACCGAGTCAGTGTTGTGGGTGGAATGTGAGAAAAATCAGCATCTAACCAGTGTCATGTTTTTGACCCATGAGCACGAGCTGTCCCTCCAATGAATTCAGCTATTTTAATAACCTCCCTTCAATTCTCTTCATTTGTGATTAGATATGTATTTAAATACTTCATGTATCCTTGCTATTGGTTTAAAGTTTCAAATTACAACTGTCTGCTGTTAGCATCCCGGAGAGTAAGTGTCTTTTGTCTATTATTCTTCTACCCTGTGGCCTTGCTATAATTGCTTATTATTTTTGAGAGTTATTTGATTTGGGGGGTGTGTGTGTGTGGATTTTTCCAAATGCAATTTCAGGTGTATACTTTGGCTTTTTAAGGCTTTTTTTTTTTGTGACCCCCATGCTCCTTTGATGTGATTTATTGCATGTGTTCACAAGTGTCAGTGTGTTTATTTGCTTCTGTGTGTGTGTGTGTGTGTGTGTGTGTGTGTGTGTGTGTGTGTGTTTATGTATTTGTAAATGCACATGTGTACAGGTGTGGATTTACTTATGGGAAGTTTGTATGTCAGGTTCTTTGTGTGTTTGTATGCATGTGTGTGTTTGTATGGGCATATGTTTATATATAGGGAGGTGTTTGTTCAGGTATGGGTGTGTGCTTGTGGAAGGGTGTTTGTATGAAGGGGCTGCTTGTGTGTCTGTATGCATGTGTGTGTTTGTATGGGCATATGTTTATATATAGGGAGGTGTTTGTTCAGGTATGGGTGTGTGCTTGTGGAAGGGTGTTTGTGTGAAGGGGCTGCTTGTGTGCCTGTGTGTTTGTGTATATGTTCTTTTCTTATTCCAATATTATGGTTTTGCATGGTGAAAAGGTGCTTGCCAGTACCACGAAGAAAGGGTTCCATCTTCTATCATGAGCTGTGCAGTAAAGTTGCAACTTTGTAATGATATTCTTATCAAGGTCACTCCCCTCCAGTCCCAGGTTCTCAGGGTTTTTCTCATGAATGATGTGGACTTGATGAACATCTCCTCTTAACAGTAGATATGGTGCAATTCCTTTGGTTAATTGTTGATGCTGAGCTGGTCTCACACACTGTGGTAAGTTCCACTCAGATCGTTGTGTGTAGTTATTGTATATGTGGCTAGATTTGACCAGTTATCATTTTGTTGAGGAATTATTTTTTTTAAGATTTACTTTATTATTTGTGTGTGTGTGTGTGTGTGTGTGTGTGTGTGTGTGTGTGTGTGTGTGTGTAAGTACATGTAAGTATAGATTCCATTAGAGGCTAGAAGAGAGCATTGGATCCCCTGGAGTAATAGGCACTTGGGAGCCACTTGAACTGGGAATCAATCCCTAGTCTTGCGAAAGAGCAGCCAGTGATGTGAACTACTGTGCCGTCTCCCCAGCCCAGTGTTGAGGAATTCTTGTGAGATACTTTCCTCCGTGATTCTCCCTTTGCTAAATCTTCTAGTTGTGGTGTTACTGAAAGGCTGTCCTCAGAAAATGGATTCCAAGCTCTTCCCTCCCTTTGTTTCTCTAAGTAATTGGTGCTAGGTTTTAATTAAGTGATTGGTAGAGGCTCAAATAAAATCATCTTGGATTTGGTTTTTGTTTTGTTCTGTTGTCAGCTTATTGAATTAATGATTTGTTTTTTATTTAATTTACTTAATATAGATGTCTATTCAAACCTGTTCAAGTGATCTTTCCCTGCTGGTATAAATTTTGGTGGTCTGTGTCTTTTAAAAATTGATTTGTTTCATCTAAAATATAAATTTTATGGTCATAGCCTTATTTTCAGTATAATTTTTTTCATACAATATATTGTGGTGATTTTCTCCTACTCCAGTTCCTCCCAGATCCTGCACCTTCCTACCCATCCATCTTCATATTCTCTCTCCCTGACCTCTTGTTCACTCTCTCAAAAAAACAAAAATCAAAACTAACAGCAAAGATCCTGGTGTATCAACCACACACACAGGACAGGCCTCATGCCCAGGAGTTGTTGGCCAACACAAAATGAATTCAGTGCTTTTGTTTGTTTGTGTATGTGTGTGGTTGTCTTACATGAGGCTTTTTGTTTCGTCTTGTTTTGTTTTGGCATTGGGGGCAGATGTGTTTGTACTCCTTCACTTCCATCTTTTTACTAAGGCAATGGAGATCTTCCTGTTTGTGTGGGTGGGTACTGGGCTCAACAGCAATGATGACCCTTACTAAACTTATGCCGTTGATAGTATGTTTGATAGTTTGTCTGTTTTCTTGATTTTTCAAAATAGAAGTCTATCAGTATTATAATATCTTTCAAAGAATCAACTTGAATTTTGTTGATTTCCCCCATTGTTTTCCTGGCTCAGTTTTATTAATTTCTGCTCTATTTGGCCTGATTTATTTTCTTCTTGACTTAACCCCTGCTCCTTCCCCTGAGCTCTGACTGGGGGAGTCTAGATTATTTATTTTGTGTCTTTTCTAATTCTCTGATATGAATTTACTTCTATTGATTTATTTTTAATCATTAATTTTACTCCCTTCTACAACTTTCAATGTCTTATCATTTGTATTTAGTTCAGTGTCCCTTTACATTTCTCCTGTGTTTCCTTCTTCAATCCAAGCGCTCTTTAGAAATACGGTGTCTGTCTCCAAGTACTGGAGGGTTCTCAGGCTGCCTTTCTGTCACTTTCAGTATTCTAGGACTAAACAGTTTGTTTGGTCACTGGTTAAGTGTGTGTGTGTGTGTGTGTGTGTGTGTGTGTGTGTGTGTGTGTGTGTGCGCGTGTACCAGCATGTGAGGGTGCCCAGCACCTGTGTACATACATGTGGGGCTAGAGATTAACAACGGGTATCTTCCCTTTTCTCCTCACCTTATTTCTTTTGAGACAAGTCCTCTCACTGAACCTGGAGCTCAGCAACTGGACAAGACTGGCTGGTCAGTGAGCCCCAGGGACCTCCTGCTTCCACCTCTCCAGTGCTAGGACCACAGCGGGTGGTCGCACCCCATTTTTACTTGGATACTGATGATCCAAAGTCAGGTTCCCATGCTTGCGTGGTGGCCACTTCACCGACTGAGCCATTTTCCCTGCCTCTTCCCTTCGCTTTAATTTGCGAAGATGCCCCTGTGTCCTCAAATGCAGCCCGGACTGGCGAATGCGTTCCTCAACTTGAGATGACTCTGTGTTTTGCTGCTAGATAGAGTGTTCTGTAAATGTCAATGAGATGTGGCTGATGGATGGTGCTGCTCAGGTCAGCTGTCCCCGTAGTGATTTTCTGCCTGCTTGATCTATCCGTTGCTGACAGAGGGGTGTTGAAGTCTTCCAGTGGGAAAGAAGTTTTGCCCCTTGCTTCTTCCCTGTGTTGCCTGGAGTGTTTTGACACTCCACTGGGTACATATACTTTTAAAATTGCTGTGTCTTCTTGGAGGATTGACTCCTTTATCATTATGTAGTACCTTCCCTCGCCTGGTAACTGTTCCTCTTTAGCAGGCGGCTTTGTTAGTGTTTGTACAGCTGTTCCAGCATTCCCTTAATTAGCAGCCATGTCACTTCACTCTTAACAGGGTCTTTATATGGTAATTAGAGCCTTTGTGGGAAAACATAGACTTGGGTCTTGGTTTTAGCTACTTTGATAATCTCTGTGCTTTAATTCGCATATTTGGACCATTCACATTTAAAGTGATTTTTTTTATAAATGTATTAATAGATACCATATTTATAGCAGATTCTCTCTCTCTCTCTCTCTCTCTCTCTCTCTCTCTCTCTCTCTTCTTGGTGAGTTTATGTGTGTATGTTGTATGTACTTGCTAGCACAGGTGTGTGAATGTGTGGGCTCAGGTGTGCCAAGGTCAGAGGAGGACTCCAGATGTCCTTTCTATTACTTTTCATCTTATCCCCTTGGGATGGGGTCTCTCATTAAATGTAGAAGCGGGCTATTGTCAGTGAGCCCCAGGGGCTGTCTCTCCCCTGCAGAACAATGGGGTTAGAGGCCCACAGTCACATCTGGCGTTTTTGAATGGGAGGTATTCTAGGATCCAAATTCACATCCTCAGGTTGCAGCAAGTGCTCTTACCTCCTGAGCCTTTGGCTCTTCAGCCCCCATGTTTATGTTTTAATTGTGTTTGTTCTGGTTTTGTTCCCAACTATCTCCCTGCTTTTGTTATGTTGTTTTAGCCCTCACGTATGAATGAGAATAGTGATGTTTGCCTTTCTGGGTCTGGCTTCTTTCACTTAACATAATTTCCTCTTGTTCCATCCATTTCTCTATAGTTAGTTAATTTACTCTTTCTTTATGTCTGAATAATAATTGTCCTCTCCCCCTGCTATGTCACATTCTGAAGGGAAGTCACCTGAATTTGTGTCGTTCTCTCACACAGGAAAAGGGGCTTCCTCTGAACTTACCTCTTTCTCCCTGGCTTGCCGGTTCTGAATATAAGATGAATGTGAGGTAGCCAGGTCTAATTCATTTCTCTTTTCTGTCCCACTTTCTGTTTAGTAAGCTTCCTAGGCCTGCAGTTTACATGCTCAGCAGTCACTTCACTTGTCTTCTCCCCACTCTGTTTTTCTTTCTAGTACACATAGGTGACATCCTGCCATGGTGCTAATGTTTGTGCCTCCCTCAAACTCCACATTGGTGCCGAGTCCCCGGGGTGATTTTTGAGGTAGATGTTGATGAGGTCCTGAGGATGGGACTCTGAGGAACAGGTTTATAAGATCAGAAGAAGTGTGTGTGTGTGTGTGTGTGTGTGTGTGTGTGTGTGTGTGAGAGAGAGAGAGAGAGAGAGAGAGAGA